AAGGGGCTCCTATAAATGGCGTGAGGAGGATTAATAATGTATTTATAACACATCGTCGTGGTAGCCGAAAATGATCTATAAATGTGCGGTAAATGTTTTATAATGTTTTTGTAACCCGTTATAAATGATAAATGGCAGACTATAGATGCTGGATCAAATATTTATAATGCATTGTGTGCGACGTTGGGCTGCTACAGTTCAGGAAAGCCATTAATAATAAAGTGGATGGAAATGGAGAAGTTACCGACATGCCCAGCAAAGCCATTTATAATGAAATATAAAATTTGGCTGTTGGAAGCAACCCACAAGCCCTCGCCGAAGCACTGGCCAGGCTCTCCCCCAGCCCAGGAAAGGAGCGGGGTCATGAATTATTTGTGAAGTGTTCCGACGAGAATGTATGCTATCCATAGTACTCCATATAAATAGGCTATTAATATACCCCAGGTGGCATGCATTATTCATTGGGCCTAATTAATTAATGGGTGGCCCCTAAAAATGGGGTGTCACAGCTTCTAGCTCCCTCTCCTGCCTGGGGCCGCAGGCTCGGCGTTGGCGTCCACGGCGGCCTGGGTGAACCCGTGGATGGCACCAGGGGTGACCAGCCTTGAGAAGTGGGGGAGAAAGGACATCCCTGGTGATCTGCTGTGAGGCCAGCGTGACGCCCCCCAGCCATCCTTCCTGTGCGGGCCGGGCGCAAGGGGGCTGTGGTCCACTCCAGGGGGGCTCTGCCCACCTCGCCCCATGAGTGTCCATCTCCTACAACCACGACTGCCATGGCCCGTGGCCCGGGCAGGGAGCCATGTCTCCGCTGGTCACCCCTGGTGCCATCCTCCCTAAACACCCAGGGATGAGAGGCCCTGTCTTACGGTGAAGATGAGGAAGCCGCAGAAGTGGGGAGCCTTCCACAGGGTCCCAGGGCAAACCGGCGTCTGACCGAGATCTCCAACTCGGCTGGCCCGTCTGACGCCGGGCCGTGTCCTGAGGGAGCCAGGGCCCCTGCTCCTGTTCTGGGACCCATTCTCACAGCAGGGGTTCTGTGGGCACCCCTGTGCAGTGTGGCTGCTCCCATGGGTATACCGCAGTACATGAAGGCTCTGAGAAGTCCTGCAGGGAAAGCTGCAGGGCCAGGCCACCTCCCTTTGTTCTCGAGCACCGCCCCCCCCACCACCATCCAGCCATTCCCTCTCTCCTGGTTTCTCCTCTGCCTCAGAGGCTTAAGGAGCTGCTGTTCCCGCTTGGCCCATCAGCCTTGGGTCAAATTAGTTACTTGGGGTGGAATCCAGTTGACAGGTCTATGGGCCTCGCCCCACCACTGGGACTCTTCCTGGGGCCCAGTAGCCAACGCCTCCTCCAGAAACTAAACTGACGCACAAGCTGGACTTGGCTTTTGGATAGAGACTAGTGATGCCTCTGGCCCTGTCCCTCCCCTTCCTCCCAGGGTGGGCCCCCATCATCACCAAGAGGGGCAGAATGTTCTGGAAGCAGGAGGTGGGGGGGACTGACACTGTCTGGCCTGGAAGTCCTGCCCCCAACCAGGGTGACCACTGGGGCAGGACGACGGCCTGTGCTGACGCAGGCTCCTCCTGTCCTCGCCCCACACGGGGACCAGGGCCCCTCCAGGTCAGGTCTTCCCGGCTGGTCAGGTGGTCCCTTCTCTCCTTGGGACCTCAGTTTCTTGGGCTGCAGGAAAGGTACGATCAACCCGCTTTTTTTTTTTTTTTTTTTTTTTAAACATAGGGCTTAGGGCGCCTGGGTGGCTCAGTCATTAAGCATCTGCCTTCAGCTCAAGTCATGATCCCAGGGTCCTGGGATCGAGCCCCGCATCGGGCTCCCTGCTCAATGGAGAGCCTGCTTCTCCCTCTCCCACTCCCCCTGCTTGTATTCCTGCTCTCGCCGTGTCTCTCTCTGTCAAATAAATAAATAAAATCTTTAAAAAAAATAAACACAGAGCTTGAACTCAAAACCCTGAGATCAAGAGTCGGACCCTTAACCACCTGAGCCACCCAGGGGCCCCTGATCAACCCTCTTTTAAAGAGTGGCTATATTAAAAGGGGAAATGGGTGTGAAAACTGATAGGCTGACGGGCCCTGCTCCCTCCTCCCCAGTCCCTCCGTGGGAGCTACAGTTGCCTTTTGCGTTCCTCGGACCTCCATTCCTGCCTCAGGGCCTTTGCACACACCACTCCTTCTGCCTGGGAAATTCTTTCCTGCCCTCTTGGATAAGTTCCATCCGCATACGCTTCAGGGCTCAGTTCCCGTGTTCCCTCCTCAGGGATGCCCCCTCCCATCTTCTGAACCAAGACAGGGTTCTTCTTCTACCAGAGTGACTGGCACTTTTGCCTTTGCTTGTAGCCAGCCGCTGCAACAAACATCCCAAAGTGCCAGCAACTGAACCCAGTGTGCATTCGTGTCTCACTCGCTCAGAGGCCCACACAGCTGTTCCTGGTCAGTGAGGCCTCGGCCTCCGCCTACGTGTCCTGTGCATCCGCCTGGCAGACCAGGCAAGATGGTGAGTCTGGAGGTGTGCACGTCCCCTCCATTAGCCAGAATCAGCCCCGCGGCCCCACTGTCCTGCAGGAGAGGTTAGATTGGCTCCAGCAGGGGAAAGCGTGAATGGGGAGGTCGGGAGGCAGGACGGGGAGCACGTGGGGCGGGGGGTGGGGCGGTGCGTGGCTTTGGGAGGGGAGGCAGGAAAGGCCCCGGCTGGGAGGAGGGGAGGATGGCTGGTTTGATGGTGTGCCGCAAGGACAGGACCTTCCTGGGGAGCAGCGGAGGGTGTGAGCAGGGGCGGCGTGCTCTCACCCCGTTGTTACAGATTTTGTGTTGAGAATACATTGTAGGTGGCAAAGCACATGCAGGGTCAGAAGTCGGGGAATCCAAGCTCACACTGGGTGGTGGCGCTGGTTGGTCTTCTGCTGGACGGCATGTGGGCATCGAGCGGATCGGAAGGAGCCCTCAACCACTGTGGGGCCAGCCGTGGGCAGGGCCTGTTTGGGGTCCTGGAGGAGGGGCTGAGTTCAGGGGACCAGCAGGGCCTGAGGCCAGAAGGGGAAGGGTAGGGTGCGGGGAGGGTGAGGCCGCGGAGGGCAGGGGTGATAAGGACCAGGCAGCATGACATGTGGCCTGGACTTTATTCTGAGTGCTGCAGAGGCCAAGCAGGAGAGTGCTTGACCAGCTGGCTTTATAGAAAGCTCCCTTGGGTGCTGGGGAGGGGTGGGCTGTGGTAGCTGGAGGGGGGCAGTAGGGAGAAGTGGGGGGACTGGGGGTGCCCTGGCTTGGTGGTCCTGGAGAGGAGCAGGGCCAGTGGAAGGACATGACGTGCTCATGGGGACACCACCACAAATGCTGCTCCCCAAGTCACTGTCCCTAGAGGAAGCTGCGTGGTGACCGGCGGTGGCGGGGGCAAGAATGTAGCTTAAACCCCTGGAGACCAGAGCTCCAGCCATCCCCCACTCTTCCTTCTGAGGGAGGTGGGCCTCCAGCCCTGTGTGTCCCTTGTGAGCCCCTGTGTCCACCCCCTGCCCTCCCCCCAGGGCTCTTCCTTCCTCACTGGCTTTTCCAGTTCTCCTAACTGCTGCCCTGGGGGTCAGGAAAACCCAGTTGGTTCCTCGTTCCAGGACCAGCCACCAGCCTGGCTAAACTGGCATGACACTGTCCTTTGTCCTCCTGCTGGGAAACCCCCCGCAGGTCAGGGCAGTAGTCATGGCCAGCCTTGATCCCAGGTCTGGGGGCTCCCTGTCTAGCACCTGCTTGCATGCCCCCTGTGATGGGGAGCTCACCATCTACACACAGGCCTCACTCGCATTGCTGGGCAGCTGGATGTGCACCCCCCAGGGCCCAGCTGCTGGAAAGAGCTAGAATGCGATGTGCTGGGTCTGGCCTGGAAGACCTTGGTTTTTACTCCCTCAAGTGGGCATGGAGACGCCACCCCGTAGCCCTGCCAGGGGCCAATCATGGGGAAACACCCTCCTTCCTGTGGGCCTTGTCTGGACAAGCCTTGGAGCTGGGGGGCCGGGAAGGTGAAGTCACCGCCCATTTCTGTTTCCGGCTGTCCGGTGGCACGGCCTCAGCCAGGGCTCCCGAGAATGTGGAGCGGAGCCGGCCGGGTAACTGGGGGCCCCACAGGAGGGAGAACCCCATGACTTCTGTCACAGATGCTCACGGTAGAAAACCGGGACACAACGGACCAGCACGACCCCCGAGGGGCATGGAGCCCCAGGAGCAGCTCCGTGGACAGGCCCCGCGGAGGGAGACTCCTGGCGTGCAGGACCTCCCCCCGTGGCCCCCAACGCCAGCGGGGCCACGCGGGGTCCGCGCCCCCTTACCAGCCTCAGCGCCCTGGGCTGTAACCCGAGAAGCGGGACCGCGGCCTCACCTGGCCCCCCGCCAGCGTGAGCACCCAGGAGGAAAAGTCCCCTGAAAGCCCGGAAACGCGAGGGGCGTTCCCGCACGGGGGCGGGGGTGTCGGGGGCGGCCTCCCGGGGTCAAGGGTGCCCAGGGCCAAAGGCAGGCCGGGGCGCTCCACCACTTCCTAGCCTCAGTTTCCCCGTCTGTAGAGTGGCTTTGCCCCTCACTTCTCCACGATGGTTGGTGGGGGGCGTTGAAAAGAAAGTCCCAAAGCAGCCCAGGAGTAGTGGAGTGCGGAGGGGCTCCGAGGGGAGGAGGGGTGGGCGTGGCTCCGGGAGGGAGGGCCTCGAGGGGCGGGTCCTGGAAGGGGCGTGGCGGGCCTGAAGCGGAGCCTGGCGGGAGCGGCCCTAGGGGCGGGGCCGGGGCCTCCCCTGGGGGCGGGGCCTCTCGGGGGGGCGGGCTCGGGCCGCGCTCCCGCCGGCCGCGCGGCTGAGGCTCCCGGTAGTCCGCGGGCTCCGGCGGGGCTCCGGCGGGGCTGCGGCGGGGATCGGCGCCGGGGGTCGGCGGGTCCGCCGATCGGCGCGGGCGTCGGTCCGCGGCTCCGGGAGGCGCAGTCGGAGCCCCGCGGCCGCCGGGGCGCGCGCCGCTGCCCGCATGGCGGCCATCAAGGCGCTGCAGCAGTGGTGCCGACAGCAGTGCGAGGGCTACCGGGACGTGAGCATCACCAACATGACCACGTCGTTCCGCGACGGCCTGGCCTTCTGCGCCATCCTGCACCGCCACCGGCCCGACCTCCTGTGAGTGCGCCGCAGGCGGGGAAACTGAGGCCGGGGCTGCTGGCGCCGCCCGGCGGGGGCTGTGTGGAGAGCCGCGCGATGGGGCGGCGCGGAGAGGGGTCCCTGCAGCCACCACCCGCCCGGTGGCCTCAGTTTGCCCGTCCACCAAGTGGAGCTGGGCCGGAGCCGGGCCGGCCGGCCGCCCCCGCTGGCTTTAGTCCGTGAGTCAGGCCGGCCTCCCGGCTGCGGCCACAGCCACTCCTCCCCACCCGCCGCCTCCCTGGGAGAGGGCCGGCAGAGCTGCCCTTCTGCGCCCCCCCTGAGCGCCCTGCTGCCCAGGGACCGCCACCCAGATCGGGGGTGCTGCGCCCCTGCCCCAGCCGGCCACGGCACCTTTAGGAATGCAGCCCAGGGGCACTGTGGGGGAGGGGCGGGCGCAGTCCTGCCTGGGCACCCTAGAGCGACAGGTATGAGGTGGAGGCTCAGCCCCTATCCCTGGGAGCCAAGAGACCTGGGCAAGGGAGTGGACTAGGGCGACTCCCCCAGGAGGGTCTTGGAGTGGTGGCTGGCAGGTTGGCTCTGCCTTGTCGCTGGATCTTGTCCCCACGCTCCACCCACTCCATCAGTTATTCACTCAGCAAACGCTCTTTGGCTGAGTGGCTGGGACCAGGCTTGCTGGGGCAGAGGTCTGTGATGAGGGCCTGGCCCCTGACTCATGTGAACTGGAGATGGGTAAAGCTCCAAGGGAGGGTGCCAGGACTGGGGCGGGGGGGGGGCGGTACTGGGGCTCAGGAAGGCTGTCCTCAGGAGGCCACCTGCCTTCTGGAAAAAGCATGATGTTCAAAAGCATTCTGAGAAGCTGGGGCTGGATCCAAGGGTAGGGTGGGGTGTGTGTTTGCCGGGGAGGTCTTGGGGCTGGGAGAGGCCAGAAACAGCACCTCAGTGAGATGGGGGAACTGAGGCCCTTTCTGTATAGATGGGGAAACTGAGGCCCAGAGACCAGACACCCTTGTTCAGAGCACAGAGCATGTCCGCAGAGCCAGGGCTGGCCCTCGGGGCTCCTCCCCTGCACTCATGTACTCTGTACTCCCAGGCACTCTCCGGGGAAGCTAGTCTTGACAAAGGCCTACACGTACTTCCTCCTCCTGCCCAAAGTTGTGAAATGCATTTATGGAGCCTCCTGGGGAGGCCCCATGTGGCATCTGGGCAGCAGCTTCTGCCCCCTGCCCAGGGATGCACGTCAGTTACCCCTGGAGGCAGAAATGTTGGGCAGAATGGGCTTTGATGGGTACTTGGGCTCAGGATGGGACCCGGAGTGGAGCTGGGCAGGCTGAGCCCAGCTGGGAGCACGCAGGGACCCAGGTGAGGCTGGCTGGGCCTGGACAGGGCAGCATGAGAAGCCTGCAGTTACAGGCAGGTAGGGTACGGCCGTCTGCTGGTCAGCAGCCTGAGGACGACACCATGGGTGTCACTGGAGATTTGGGGCTTTTCCGAGCCCTGGGGGCTTCTATCTGCTCCTTGCTGCACTGGATTAGAGGCCTGTGTGTGTGTGGGTGTGTGTGGCACATGAGCCTGTCCCAGCATGCATTGCCCAAGCGTGAGCACAGGTGTGCACATATGGGTGTGTACCATGCTGGCATAAGCAGGTGTCATATAACCGTTCCTTTAACCGTTAATGAGTGCCTGCTGTGTACTCAGCACTGCAAACTGAAGAACGTGGACTTGGCCCTGCCTTAGGGAGTGACATTGAGGGCATCAGTCATCTCATTTACTGCTGACTTGGTTTTTGTCCATCTGCCCCCACTGGCCTTTAGCTCCAAAAAGGTGGAGATGTCTTTTTTGGTACTGCCTGTCCTCGGTGCCTGGAACTGTGTCTGGCACATGCCAGGTGCTTGGTAAATAGGAGCACATAGTCGGAGAGCTACAGATGAGGGCATGCACTTAGGGCTCTGTAGGGATAGTAGGAGTTTGGGCTCTGCGGGTACCTGTTCGCAGGGGGGGAAGGGAGAGGAGGCCACATGACCATGGAGGCCGAGATTGGAGTGATGGGGCCACAAGCCAAGGAACGCCTGGAGCCCGCGGGGACGTACAAGGAACCGATGTCCCCGAGAGCCTCCAGAAGGAACATGGCCCTGCCGACGCCTTGATCTTGGACTTCTGGACTCTGGAACTGGGAGGGAGTGCGTTTCTGTTTGTGGTCAGCAGAACATTAGTACACAGCTTTTGATACGTGGCGGGTGCTGAAGGGGCTGGTGGAATACCGTGCCTGTAGTCGGTGCTGTATACACGCTCAGTGGGGCACGTGCGTGTCCTTTGTTGTGCCTTACACACCCTCCCCTGCCCCCAGTCCCTGTGCTGCACACCCACCCCCAGGGGGTGCAGGGAGGGGAGGAAATACGCAGTAAGGCGTAGTGCAGGATGCCGCCGTCCTGGGGACGCTTCCGAGGCCAGACTGGGGCAAGCCCCCCCCCATGCTCCCCGTCCTTCAGAAACCCTCTGGCCACAGGAGAGTGGACATCCGGCTCTGTGTCTTCTGACTTTGCCACCAGGAAGGCCTTCCCTGCGCCCCATCTCCAGCCTTCCTGCTGCACCAGAGCTGCTTCCTCCCCACGGCCTCCTTGGGAGCAGCTGCAGCGCGCCAGGCGCTGAGCCAGACGGGGGGCGGTCGGCTGCTCCCATCCTATAGCTCCGCTCCTGCCCCTGCCCCTGCCCCGCCAGGTCGTGCGGCCCTGCTCCGGGAGGTGCGTGTGACGCGCTGGTGGCCCCGCGGGGGCCCTGGGAGGTATGCGTGGGTCAGGAGGCGGGCACACTCGAGACGCCCCACTAGAGCTGGCCAGGCAGCACCAGCACGGGCCCCTCTCTGGTCAGCCTGCCCCCAAGTTGTAGGCTTTCTCGGATGGGCCTCCAGGGTGCCCGCCCCAGGTCTGTTTCCCCAGTGACGCCTCCTCTGCCAAGCAGCCAGGTGAGCGCGGGAGCCGCCAAGAACAAACAGCTCCTGCCTGCCTCGGGCAGTAGACCTGTCAGGGCTGGAGCGCATGGCTGGGCTCCTTCCCCTTCTGGACTGACCAGGGGTGGCTGAGGTTTTCAGGGGGAGACGCAGGAGGTAGGGGTGGCGGCTGCCACCAGGAAGGAGGGGGCAGGAGGCTTTCCCAGCTGCTGACAGAAGCACCCGAGCTTCCTTGGGCCGTTTGTAGGGGTTGTGGACGGTGTCCCCAAGTGGGGGTTCTGCTGCAGACTCACTGGGCCTCCCAACCCTTCAGTCCTATGGTGGGGGGACCTGATCTTTCTCAGGTCCCTCCAGCTCGGGAGGCCGATGTCAGGGCTGGGGCAGAGCCAGTGGTTTCGGGTGTCTCCCTGGCCACGGTGGGGCTCCCTGAGACGCGCCCTGAGACTCGCACGTAGTCCGGAGTCAGGAGAGGCCCCCACCCAGATGCTCGGAGACAGCACTGCTTCCCTTCCTGGGCCAGAGCAGAGGGTGGACTGGGCTGGCCTTGCCTCCCACACCGGCATCTTGGCCAGCAGGAAGCTGCCTGGGGACAGAGGCCTTCTGTTCCCCAGCCTGAGGGCCTGCTGCCCAGGCCCCTGCGGCCGCCTTCCAGCAAGACTCTCCAGGATGGACATGGGGAGCGCTGCCAGCCCACCTCCTCAGGGTCGCCTGGGGCCAGTGCCCTGTGATGGCTCCGCTCAGGCCACCACAGAAGCCCCAGGGCTGGCTCTTGGCTGGACCGTACCCCAGGCCAGGGTTGGGGGTCAGGGTCTGCTCTGGCCTGGGGGAGGCCTGCAGCTGGGCAGCCAAGGCTGAGGGGGGTCTCACTTGTCCACCAGGTGCAAGGAGGTGGGGTCCTGAGTCCTGGGCCCTGCACCCACCGGGACCCTTCTCCCTGCCTCGGGCCTCGGGCCTCGGGCAACTGGTGGTGTCCCATTCCTTCCCGTGCCCTCCACCTGGCCCGAGATCTGTGCTAGCATGTGCCCAGCCTCTCCCTGCCCTTCTGCCGTGGGGCTTCGGTCTTGTCTCTGTCCCTCTCCATCTCTGTGTGTCTGCCTGTGTCTTCCTCTCCGCTCCCCTTTCCGGTGGGATTAACTCCAGATGTGCTGGGGGTGCCTGGAAAAGATGCCTTCCCTTTGGTCAGCCCCTCCCAGCCCAGCGCCCACCCCCCACGTGGCTGCATTTTTTTCTGGGAAATAAACAGTGTGAGGTCAGCTTTCCAGGAATTTGGAAGGGGGTACACATTCCCAAGAGCCCCGAAAGCCTGGGGGCAGGGGGCTGGCTGGCGCAACAGTGTGAGGTCAAGTCTTGGTCAGCTGTGGCCAGCACGAGGGGCCGTGCCTCAGGCTCTCGCGGCCAGGCCGGGCCGGGGCTAGACACACACTGGCGCCCGGCCGACGGCAGACAAGTCAGCGGCCACAGGACACACATGTAGACCCAATGAGCACGTTCACGGGCCGGTGTCGAAAGAACAGACGGACCCCACAGAAGCCCCTCGCTTGGCGAGCCTGGGAACGAGTCCATCAGCCAGCATTTGCAGAGTACCAGCTGTGTGCAGGTACCTTGGAGCCGTACCACAACGGAACTGAACTTGAATGACAGGAATTCGACTAAAGTATGATCTAACCGGGGTGGGAGGGGGTGAGGGTGCCTGGAGCTGCAGCCCACCCAGTGTGCAGGCTCTTGGGCTGCAGCTTCCTCGCCGAGGGGCAGCCACGAAACGGCCCGTGAGGTGCAGCTCATGCATTTTGGTCCAGCAAGGCCTTACGTGCCACCAGGCCGCCTCCCAGAGGGTTGGCCAGAGCCGGGCTGTCAGTCTGGGGCGACTGGAACAACAGACATGCGTCATCTGAGTCAGGTGCCAGCAGGTGGGCCCCGCCAGAGGCTCTGAGCCTCTCCCCTTGGTTGGTGGAGGGCCGGTGTTCCTCTGTGTGCTTCCAGGTCCTGATTTCCCTTTTTATAAGGACGCCAGTCGTTTTGGATTAGGGCCCACTGTCATGACCTCATCTGAATGGGATTCTGTCTGTAAAGAAGATCCTGTTTCCAAAGGTCACGTTTTGAGGTCCTGGGGGCTAGGACTCCAACAGATCATTGTGGGGGTCCCCGTTTAGCCTATCCCCACAAGAGTCCCCAGTGGCGGTCGCGTTGGACTTCCTGATGGGGACAGGCGCGGTCTCCTTGGCACTCTGAAGGGTTTGCGGGGCAGCTCAGTCCAGAGATTTCTGCCAACACCGGCCCCAGAGCGCCAGGCCAAGCATCCCTTAGGGACAGAGGCGACGCCGGCCGAGCCCCAAGCTGAGAGGCAGAGAAGCAGACAAGCGTTCACTCGGGGCCCTGTCGGGTGCCTCTGGGGAGCGGCCGGGGCGGGTGTGCCAGGCAGGGCAAGTGTGTTCCGCACGGAGGGAACAGCGTGGGCTGAGCTCGAGAGGCTGGGAGGGCAGGACCCTGGGCGGAGAGCTTGCTTCAGGAGGGGTGCGGTGGCCGTGAGACTGGCCGGGGGGGTCCGGCCCCGCTGTGGAGGCCTTCAGGGCCCAGGGTCCTGGGGCGGTGGTGGTCCTTGACCTTGGGCGGAAGGGCACCTCAGCGGCTTCTGACCTGCCCGCCTTGGCGCCTGCTCAGCGGGGGCCGGCACCACCGCGGTGAGGTGCTCCCTCAGGATCTGGGCAAATCAAGCGCCCGCCCCCCCCACCCCACCGCATCCACTGGGCGCGCCGTGCACCCCCTCCCCGCAGCAGATGCAGGGGGCCGGGGGCCTCCTTCGCCCACGTGTTTGCAGACAAAACAGAACTTGTTATCCTGCCCTCCCTCCACCGGGGCATCTTGCTGAGGATGCGGCGGTGTGGGTCAGTGACCTAGGGCAGGTCTGGAAAAGAGATTGAACTTTCAAAAGGATGGGCTGGGGGAGGGAGAGGACCCCTGCAGACGGAGGCCCCACCTGCCGAGAGCCCCCTGGGCCACGGATGGAGCCGGGCCACTCTGCGTGCCGTGGACGCTGGTGGGACAGACCCAGGGTGACCTGCGTGTGGCCACACTGAGGAAGCAGGAGAGTGCCCCGCCCCCCCGATGCCCCTCTGGCCGTTTGTCCACCTGCAGACTGAGCTGCCGCCATCTTGTCCGGTGCACAAAAGCACCGTCTGTGCTCATGGGGTGGTCTTAGCATCTGGAACACGTTACCTGGGAGGTGGTCTGAGCAGACAATGAGGTCTCCCTGAAGCTGGGCAGGGTGACGGACGCGGGGCTGGAGGCCGGCAGAGGCCTCCTCAGAGGGAGGTGGGCACATGGCAGCCCCATCCCCTCCCCACCGTGTGGCCTCAGGCCAAGGCCGCCACGCCGCGCTGCAGCCAGGCCCCCCAGCTCACACCGGAAGCTGCTGTCCTCCTCCCAGATGGGGATGCTGAGGCCCGAGGCGGGGGGCTCCCCCAGGGTCCCACAGCATAGCCCGGCTGGGTCGGGACACGGCTCCAGCCTAAGCCCTTTCCCATGCTGCAGGGCTTCCAGAACCATCCAGCGCACACTGAAGGGGCCGAGCTGCTGTGGAGGCCCCACCGATGGGTATTTGAGTGGCCTGTGTCGGGACAGGCGCCTGCTGGCCTGGTTGTGTTTTCTCCTAGCCAACGGCCTGAGGTGTGCCTGTGTTGGGCGGGGGCAACCGAGTCCCTTCCAGGCTGGGCCTGGCACCTTGGACATCCGGCACCCCCAGGGTCAAGTGTGGGGGGGGGCCCTGACCAGTGGGCAGCGTGGGGCTACGACCCCCACTGCCTTTTATGTCCACCCCCTCGTCTCACCCCTGGGACATGGGCCTCCCGTGACCCACGAGGCCATGAGCTTCTGGGAGTTTGGAAGCAGCCCACTTGGACATGTGCCCGGCTGCACTGCCCAGGCTGGTGTCTTTGTCTTGACCAGAGGTGGCTCTGGGAGGACAGGGCCCTGCAGTGGGTCCTGGCTTGGCCGTGGCCCTTCCCCACCCTGTGGGGACCCGCCGCCCAGAGCCCGCCCATGAGCCTGGCAGCAGGGGTAAGGGCTCAGCCTCTGCAGAGCATCAGAGGTGAGGGCCGTGGCTGTGGGGGCTGATGGTCTCCGGGGTGCTGGCGGGCACTGCTGAGCCCGGAACAGGGCCGGCCCCACCGACTCGTGGTTGCCGTGTGACCTAGTGCCTTCGCGGCCGCCACTCCCGGCCTCGGTCTCCCTCCCTGAGCTGCTTTGGACACCTGTATTTTTCTCTTCCAGAGACTTTGATGCTCTCAGGAAGGAAAACGTTTATGAGAACAACAAACTGGTGAGTGCCCCTGCTCCTGCCTCCACGCCTGCGTGGCCAGTCTGCCCCGAGCCATCACCCAGGTCCCAGGTCCCCTCGGGCACCACCAGGGCAGTTGCGGGAGGGGCCGGCCCTGCAGGTGAGGACCTGGCGGCCGGCCCCGCGCTGCTGAGCTCCGCAGCCTGTCCTGAGCCCGGTGACCCAAGGCCAGAAATAGCCTCTGGTCTGGCGCCGGCGCCCTCCTGGGCCCCTTCTTCCTGTTGGGGAAGGACGGGGTCGGGAGTGGCTGGGCCTCGGTTCCTATCCAAAGCAGAGCGGCGACCAGAGGTGGCTCTGGGAGGACCAGCCCTGGGGTGGGTCCTGGCGGGGCCGTGGCCCTTTCCCACCCTGAGGGGACCCCGTCCCAAGTGACAGGAAGTCCTGTAGCCTGCGGGCGGGATGAACACATGGGGACAGTGCAGCAGAGCTGTGCGCGGTCATCCTGAGGGGACAGGGCAGGCCTTGCCCAGGAAAGATGGAGCCCCCTGGGCACTTCTGGGAGGGGCGAGCCTGGTGGGGGTGCTGCCAGGGCAAGGGCGCTGGGCTGGAGGGCACCTGGCTGGTAGGAGAAACAGCGAGGGGGTTGCAGCTGGAGCAAAGTAGGGGTGCAGCCAGAGCAGAGTGGGGGCACAGAGGGAACAGAGTAGGGGCGTGGCCGGAGCAGAGTGGGGGCGCCAGCGGGAAAGTGGGGGCACGGTGGAGCAGAGTGGGGGCGGCGGAACAGAGTGGGGGCCTGGTGGGAACAGCGTGGGGGCACGGCCAGAGCAGAGTGGGGGCAGCAGGAGCAGAGTGGGGGCGCGGTGGAACAGAATGGGGCGGCGGGAACCGGGAACAGAGTAGGGGCGTGGCCGGAGCAGAGTGGGGGCGGCGCAGCAGAGGGGGGCCCAGGGGGAACAGTGGGGGCGCAGCGGGAGCAGAGTGGGGGCGCAGTGGAACAGAATGGGGCGGCAGGAACCGAGAACAGAGTAGGGGCGTGGCCGGAGCAGAGTGGGGGCGGCG